TGGATCGTTTGCCTCGGCCACACCTCCCCTGCCCACCAGCACTCCATGGACACGCCCCCCCGTTTTCATCCCTGCTTCCTGCATGCCTTTTTCCCTCATGTGTTCTCACTCAACTCCGGATCGTGTCGTCTGCATAGGGTCCGGAAAGAACTGTTCCTGCCATGTTTGTTACAATACAACAACTCGACCACGTTGAGATGCAGATGCTGGGTAGTGGTACTTGGGCAGGCAGCACAGATGGGCACACTCGCTAGCGGGATTCGTCACTCGATCTTGGTCAGGTACGCTGCCTATTTAAAAATTGCACTTAACAACCTTAGGCTTGGTTTTATCCTGCTCTGCTCTTCGTCCAGCCCAGACTCTGTCGGCTATACCAAATCACGAATAAAGCAAATTTGCGAATGATTTTTTAATGCATTGATGTGTGTGTTGAGGGGAGGGGCTTGTTTTAATGAAGAAATCCATTCATTGTATAGTCCATTCATTCATCATTCATTTTGTCATTCTATTCATTCATGCTCCTAAAATCCTTGAGAGGTATTGACAGTCAACCTAGTGGATGATGTTATGTGCAGCAGCAAAGAAGGACTTAACTTCAGGGCTGTGAACAGGAGGCACTTCTGTACACAAAGAGTAGTGGGTGTCCAGAACAAACTCTCCAACAACGTTGTTGAAGCAGGTATCTTGGGCACCTTCAGGAAAAGACTTAAAGACCCCTGAGTTCATGAGATACTAACAACCAAATGACTGCAATACGTTGTTATAAGAATGCCACTTTCTTATGTTTGTCTGTTCTATGCTGAAACTGTCTACAGTAGAATCTTTTGAAAATGAATTCTTGAAGGATAGAAATATGTCTCAGACACTTTTGGTTTCATAAGATGCAGGCTCTAGTTTCTAAGCAAGCATCGGGCGCAGGGCACTGCACGCCTGTAATCAGTGATTAAATATGCATAAAAGAAATATGTGGGGTTAAAATGACCTGTGGAATTATTTAGGGTTAGCACTGCTAATCTGAATCTGGGGTGCTATCTGTGTGGAGTCTGTATGTTCTTTCCAAGTTCATGTGGGTTTCCTCCCGGTGCTCCAGTCTCCAGTCCAAAGATTTACTGGTAGGTTCATTGGCTTCTGGGTAAAATGAATGTGTGTGATTGTGTCCTTCTGCCCTGTGATGGACTGGTGTCCTGTCCAGCTTGTACTCTGCTTTGCGCCCATTGCTTACAGCACAGGGTCCAGAACCCATGCGGCCCTTGATTGGATAAGGAGTTTGAAAATGGATGGATATGTAGAAATAACGGGCTTGATTTATCAGTGCAGCCTGGCTGTGTGATTTGTAAATCACAAAATGAATCAAACTGCTGGCAGTTGATGTGCTAGCAAGAGAAGAGAGAAAACCTGCTTGAGAAAGGAGTGCCACCTACTTTGTGAAAGACTGAGAA